GTGTGTGTGCGAATGGTTGGGTTCATTATTTTCGATGCGGTTATATTTCGGATATATGATTCGATTTCTGTTTGATCTTGGTGTGTGTGTGTGTTATTATATATTCACCAAGACCATACATAGCAATTCAATATCTGTGTTTGACACCAGTGAAAAAAAAACAAGTTAAAATCATGTCACACAAAAACATCTTATATTCATTCTCCCAGATGAGCATTTTGTTTTTCGATTTCCAAAATGTTATAGAAAAATTACAGGGCCCCCCCAAAAAAAACCATCAAAATAATGATAACCAGCAAATTATCAGTTTGATTTTTTTTCTGACGTTATTGCTAAGTTTTTGATTCCCGAATGATGATGATGATAACGAGGATAATTCAAAAAAAAGATGGAAAATTTTTTCCATCATTGTTGTCGGTTGTTGTTGATTCGATTTGTCGCCAATAATAATGGAAAAAATGAATAATACAAGAAAACATGATAATTGTAATTGTCTATATTAATCCATAGAGAATATGAATGATTCAACCACCAATGATTATTATCATCATCATCATCCTGATATTGTTGTATGATGTTTTGATATGTACAAAACATTTTTGTTGTTGTTGTTGTTGTATTTCATGTGTGTGTGTGTGTTTTGTCAGGGCTGCTAATTGCTCCATAGTCATCATCATCATCGTCATCTTCATCTCAATCTCATAATCATTATTATGATGACCAGAAAAAAAAAATGCTGTCGATATTAACACAAATTCAACATCTCAATGTTGATGATCAAATATTTGATTTCTTCTTTCTTCATTTATTGTTTTGTTTTTAAAAAGATCAAGACAAGAATCACAAAAGTTATGACATAATCCATTGTTTATATTATATATAAACAACAAACAAACAAAGCAAAAAAAAAACAAAACGAAAATCTGAACTTCGTACATTTTCATCGTTATTTTTTTTGTCATTCTAATTCCTGGATGACAAACCAAGTGTTTTTTGCTGTTGTTGTTGTTGTTGTTGCAATGTTTTCAAAGAAATCTAGGCCTAAAAATTTTTCATTTTAGACGTCATCATCATCATAGACCTAATGACCTAATGTTTCAACAAAAACAAAAAATACTTTGATGACTTTGTTTTTCTTCTACATACAACCAATGTGTCACCCAGAAAAAAAAACAAGACAACATAAAAAAAAAGATATTGATCATCACCTGTCGCCAAATATTGTCGCATGTTGTTCAAAATAATAATAAAATACACGTACAATATGATGACAAAAGTCAAAAAAAAGCCACTTGGTCAATCCGTCAATCAGTCAGTCAGTCATTCAGTCAGCCAAGTTGGTTTTATTCTACTACCCTATTCGGTAGTTTGAGACTGAGGCCAAAAGCAAAAAAAAAAAATCAATCGGTCCGACTTGATGACTTATTCGTTGTCGTCATCATCATCATCATCATCATCATCTTGGATCGCGGCAATTTTTCATCTAAATTTCTTTATTTTATGATTATTTGTCTTGATACTTTCAAACAACAGCAACAAGGTTTAAACACACAAATACATTGGTTCGGCACTTTTTTAATTCTTGGGCACGCTGGGGTGTTGTTTTTAGCGGTGTGGTGGTGGTGGTGGTGGTGGTGGGATGAGGGGGTTCTGAAATGTTTACTGTTTGCATATATGTTCTAAGGTAAGTAGAAAAAAGGTGCTTATTGTTTTAAAGTAGAAAAAAAGGCAATGTATGCCAACATTGAATATTCACAAACACCGACACGCACACACACACAAACACACAGGTAAATACGAACTGTCGGTGTGTATATGTTTTCGAAAGAAAGATCAATTGAACCTAGTTTTGATTTTTTTTTCGTTGTTGTTCGTTTCGTTCATTTATTTCGTTGAAAGTTATCACAGCAAAGATTGAAGAATTTTAATTCTTTCAGGGCTGCTAGATTGCAGAAAAAAAGAGAAAAAGTCATCACTTTTTTTCATATATACATTGTATATTAGATAAAGTGATTCTTGATGAATTTCTCGTAGCAACAACAACAACAACAACAACAACAACGACGACAGTAAAAGAAATCAGAGAGAAAAAACATTGATCTAAATGTGATAAAAATAAATAAACAGCCATGTTTACACAATGTAAACATGCACAATTATACGAAAATGCATTTGTGGCAGTAGCTTGAATGAAAAAAAAAACAAAACAGAAAAAGAGATAGATAGAGAGAGAGAGAAAAAAAAACACCTTGGATAATGGATCGTTAAGAAACAAAACGAAAATGAAATGAAAAAAAACTGTTAAAATTGATTGACGAATTGAAATACACATCATTGAATCCATTATCATCATTAATATTTTAATGGATAGATTTAAAAAATAAAAAAAAGCAATTATCAGACCCGTTAGCAGCGAATAATGATGATGATGATGATTAATTTTCACTGCAACGACTTCAAATAAAAATCAAATCTCGGTTTCATTGGACATTTCATTCATTGAATGAATTAATTTTAAATTTCAAAATTTAATGATACATGAATGGCTGTGGACAATAATAATCACATAAACTTTCTTTGCAACACCAAAAAATAAAACAACGGACAAAGATTTACCGAACAAGAACAAAAAAATTCTTAATAACTGATGATGATGATGATCATAATAAAAACGGTATATACAATGGTCAATGTTTTCGGCAATTTTTATTTGGTCTTTTTTTTTATTATCGAATCGATTAAAGCTGACCCGAAACAACAACAACAACAACAACGACAGATTCTTTCGGTTTGGCTTGGTGACAAAAAAAAAATTAAAAAGACACTTGACTTCGGTCATATCATATCATGCATTTGTGTGTGTCATTAAGACACTCTACACTGATGACAATTCTGTTGTTCGTTTTTGGCCAAATATGATATGTAGAAAGAGATGAGGGGTAACAATCTAATAGTTCTAACAGGTATTGGCTAGCATGGTCTTAAATTTCCAAGAAACTTAAGACTAAAGTCATAAAAAATTTTCTTTTCTTTTGAAGTTTGCATTTGTTTGTTTGTTTATAATTTGAAAACAAAACAAAACAAAACAAAAAAAAAAAAATTTAACCGAGAAAATTCCTGAATATTTTTTTTTTTTTTTTGGCTTGACCTCAGTCGTATGATGATTGAAAAGTTTTCCAAAAGTTTTCATTCTCGACAAAACAAAACAAAAATTCTATCAATAAAAATTTTAAAAGCTAAAAAAAAATTCACATTATTTTATCGAAAAAAAAAAAAAATAAAATAAAATTATTGATAGGCGTTTTCCTGAAAAAAAAAAATTTTCCATTCAATCGATTATTATGTAAGCATCATCATCCCAAACAAACAACAAGCAAATTTTTGTTGTTGTTTTTTTTTGAAGAACAACAAATAACCACCACCACCACCACCAATATCAAACATGGATCATCATCATCATCATCATGTGTAAATTTCAACATTAACACCGAAAATCATCACCATCATCGACCATCTTCCTGTATGATGCTTGCAATTTTTTTTTTCTTCACTTTTTCTATTAGGTTATTTTTTTTTTTTTAATGTTGACATTGTCGTCATACATAAACACACACACACACACACACACCAGAAATACACAAACTATTGGGATGGTTGATTTTCAGTCATATATATCCTACATGATGTTGTTGGTGTGTATATTATCGGTTACCCTGGTAATCGTACTGGATGCATCTATCGATCAATAATGATGATGATGATGATGATGAGATCGTATCCCGTAAAACATAATGTTCACTATATGTCATTATTTTTTTTTTTTTTTGAGCTAGATGCTGAAATTTTTTTTTTTTTTTTTTTGGTTTTATTTGGAGATATTGTATAGTATGTTTGCTCTAAATTTTGTTTCGTTTTTGTGTTCATCTATAATTCACACAATGGCAACAAAAGATTATTATTTATCATCAATATTTGTTGAAACTTTTTCATTACAGAATTTTTCATTTGTTATTATCATCATAATTTCTCTCTCTCTCTCTCTCTCTCTCTCTCTCTCTCTCTCTCTCTCTCTCTCTCTCTCTCTCTCTCTCTCTCTCTCTCTCTCTAAATTTATTAATATATCATGTTTATGGAATAAATTCATTTTCATTTCAAAATTAAAACATGTTGATGTGATGAAAAAATGGCAAATGAACGAAGAAACAAAAAAAAAAAATCCGGAAAAGATTCCCAAAAAAAAATCCATATTGCCAATATATGTGTGTGTGTGTGTGTCTACGCATCTTTTTTTTCCCAAAATATTTCTCTCATTCCCATCATTTTTTTTTTTTTTTTTTTTTTGTTATTCCATTCTGATAACAACAAAGTGGGACGTACCTGGCATCGATTATGTTACGCCTTCATGTATTGGTTACAATTATGTTCATAGGCGTTGATCAAAATGACTGTAGGCGGAGTATTGTATCATTTTTATCTTTAAAATAAATGATGATGATATCCTATGTTCAACAAATAAAAAAAAACGGCAATAACGTTATTGCCATTTTTTTTTTGGTTTTGGTTTTTTTTCTTGTTGTTGTTGTCGTTGTTGTTGTTGTGTTTGTTCTACTTCTATTTATTTGTGCGTGTGTGTGTGTGTGTGTGTGTGTGTGTGTGTGTGCTAGTTAACATACAATGATAACGAAAACGTCTACAAAAATAGTGAAACAAAAAGTGAAACTTGGCAAAACAGATTTTTTTTTATTTTTATTTAATACTGTTGTTGTTACTTGTTTCATTTCAACCACATACACATACACAATACACATACACACATATCCAAACATACAAACAAACATGCCACAAAAACCAAAACGAGACCATTCGAATCAATTCATTCGACCAATTTCTAATTGACAAATTGTATGATGTATATAATAATAATAATATATATCATATAGTCATCATCAACATCATCATAATAATAATAATAATTTGACAATGAGAAGTTGGTTATGTTTTCATATTTTTTTTTCCTAAGACTTGATTTTCTATTTGCTGAATCATGTGTTTGTGTTTGTATATGTGATTGACTTGTGATTTTCGATGGATTGACCATTATTTTTTTTTTTTCAATTCGATTGAATTTATCAATAAAATTTTTGTTGTTGTTGTTGTTGTTGGAAAAATTAAAAAAAAATTGAAAAAAAAACAAATGGTAGTGTATAATAGTGGTCAAATATCAACGACAACGACGACGACAACAACACTAACAAATGATTTAAATATCGAACCATTGTCATTGATTAATGAACAAATCATGTTTCAGAATACACAAACAGAAACTATACAAATTAAACAAGAATCATCATTATCATCACCTGTTAATGCTATGAAAACAACAACAACAACAACACCAGCATCAGATTTATCAATTAAACATGAACCAAATTTATCGCCAAATAAAGAATGTTCAAAAAATTTAAATTTACATAAACAACCACAAACAGATGATTCATTGGTACATTATCCACATGAAACTGAAGATAATTTTTCCATTTCTGACAATAAAATTCATTCGAATTCCAATATTGTAGACATGATGACACATGGTACAAATGGATCAACATCATCAACGACATCATCTGCATTACATCATACGAATACGGATACAGAATCACCGATGATTGCATGTCAACAGTCAAATTATATTAATCGTCACCATCCTATGTATTCTACTAGTGGTACTACTAATAGTTTTTTTAATTCATCTACTAACGCCCAATATAATCATCATCATCATTCGGCATCATCAACATTAGTGATGACACCAATATCATCACCATTTTATGATGATGCGGCAACCAGTAGTACTGGTCTATCAGCAACATCGGCAATCACGATGACAGCCAGTGAGAATAATACAAGTCATTTGATGTCACAATCGGCACATCATCCTTGGCTTCAAACAATGGCCCGGAATAATCATCATCCTCATCATCATCATCATCATCATCATCAAAATCCTCATTATGCAACATATTCAGAAATGTCGGCCACAAATGATTGGCCAAATGTTCCCGCTTTTGCAACACCAAATGTAAATTCATTTACATCGGCAACGGCAAATTCTCCACTTGCAACTTACCATCAAATAGCATCATATTCAAATCAAATTGGTACGGTTTATACACATCCTCATGGTCCATACGCACATCGTAGTTCGAATAATGGATTGGATTTTTATAATTATCCTTCCTATACACATACACATCCATTTTTTCCATCACCAAGTTCAACGGGAATGACATCGGCTTCTGGTGGATCATTTCCACCATTGACCGTTGGAACGGAAGAATCACCAGTGGGTACGGCGATTTATCCAACAACAACAACATTTGGTCATATAAATTCAAGTCCAGATTCAGGTGTAACTGGTTCAAGCGATAGTAATGAATCACCAGTATCATTGAATGGATCGACAATTCATTCATTTGGCAATCAATATAGTAGAACGGATAATACAATACATTCATCAATGACGCCGATTATAAATCGATCATTACCATCAAATGGTAATGATTTATGTATTGGTTTTATTAAATCAGGATCAGATACATCACCATATCTATATTCAAATGTGGCTAATTCAGCTAACAATGCTGCTACTACTGTTATTAATGGCTATCAAACAATTAATGTTGATGATGAACAAAATGATGTTCAACAAGGAAAAAGTTTACAATCACAAACGGCTAGTAATAATGATGATGATGATGACGATGGTAATAATAACATTAATAATTCTCATCATCATCATCATCATCATAATCATCATCAACAACAACAACAACAACAACATCAAAAATCAACGATTTTAGTCAATAATATAACAACCATAGAAAATGATCATCCAAATACAAATAGCCAAACAAATAATCACAATAATAATCAAAATAGTAAACCAACATTTGAATGGATGAATAAATCAGCCAATTCAAATTCATCACCATCAAGTACAGGTAAGATAGATATAGATATAGACATTTATTAAGTTTAAAAAATTTTTTCATCATCATTTCATTAATGACGGTAATCATTACTATGCGAGAATTTCACATTGCTTGCAGAGAGAGAGAGAGAGAGAGTGAGAACAATTATAATGAAGCGACTGAATGGCATTTTTTTTTTTTTTTTGTCACAACAGCACGACAATGACCTGACGCAAGTGTAGAAAAGATAGAAAAAAAATATCTTCACTCTTTGTTCGAAAGGCCAAAGAAAAGGTCAAATGATCGAACAAGAAAAGAGCTACAAAGATTAGACAGACAAACAAACAAACAAAAAAAAGCGCGGCAATAGAACAGAGAGAGAGAGAAAGAAAATTTTTAGAGAGTTAAAAAAATATGAATCTGAATATGAATTTTTCACTGTACTGGCGGTGAATTTTTGTTTTGTTTTTGTTCTTTTTTTTTTGGCGACAAAAACCGAAAAAAAAATTCTGCAGTTTCTTTTATTTAGCTCGCAATTGTACTTTCGATTTTTTTTTGTTTCTTTCACTGTTTCTTGTTGATTGTCATAAATTTTGATGATGATTATTGCAATTCTATGTGGGTGAATGTCGAATGTGTTGAATCGGAATCTTCATCATCATGTCAACAGTGATGGTGAAAAAGAGAAAAAAAAATGATGATGACTAAAAAAATCCACTGTGCCTAGCCTATTTTGATTATGGGATAGAATCTTTTTCAGAATCGTATTTTTGATTATTGTACCCAAGGGTCATTTCATGATGATTATGTGGATTCATTTTTACATTTTCTACTACATTCTATTATGCAGAATAATAATCATCAACATACACACACATGCACAAACGAAAATCATCAATGATGATGATTCAAACCCAAAATAATAATATACATTAAAATGAATCTGAATTTTTTTTTGCCATTTCATTGTGTTAAATTACAAAAAACAGAAAAAGAAAGAAAGAAAAAAATGAATGAAATTTTAATTGAATTTCAAACCAAAATGTGATGTGGCCATGATCAAATGATCATTTGCATACGAAAAAAAACAAACAAATGTGCAAAAAAAAAATATTCGAAAATTGAATATCACTGTCATCATCAAATGTGTGATGATGATGATGATGATGATGAGGTAGTTTATTTTCTTCCTATGATTTTTTTTCGTTGTAAAAGTTTACCTTAAAATAGCTTTTCTCTTCTTTCTTTCTTTTTTGTTGTTGTTTTTTACCATTTTTGTTGTTGTTTTCCAATCGGTTTGATTGGATGCATTTCAAACACATGATGACATTGAACACGTCATTTTTGAGTGTGTGTGTGTGTGTGTGTGTGTGATATGAGTTTGTTTACATGTGTTTACTATTGGTGTTTTTCTCATCACCATTGAACAAGGAAAGCAAAAAAAAAAAAAAAAAAATGTCAATTTTCAAGCCAATTGGTTTGTAAAAAAAAAATCTTTGGTTTGTGCGTGTGTGTTTATGTTTCATTACAAGTATTTTTTCAACAAAACAAAAACAAAAAAATAATTCAAGATTCACAGTGGAAAAATCTGCTTTTTCTTCTATTCATCAGCATTAAAACTGTGTTCCCGATACCCGATTGCAATCAAACACATTGGTATAAACGAATAAAGTTTATCTGAATGAATGAAAAAAAATTGATGCTAATGTATCTAGTGTTTATTACATTTGATTTGATTTGATTTAAAAAAAAATTTGAAATTCAAGAATGACCAATCCCTTCTATTGCTGCCTGTTGGTATTGTATGGCCATTTGGATAATAATAATGACGATGATGGTTGATGATGATGATGATGATCATAATCAATCTATGATGATGGCCAATAAATAAAACAACAACGATTTGACCTGTAAGGTGAAATATTTTTATGTTTTAGCGGCTTACATAAAGACATTCAACAACAGCAACAACAACAACAACATTTGACAGTGAGAAAGAAAGAGAGAGAGAGAGAGAGAGAAGAAATGTGAAGGTATAATTTTCATTTGAAAAATTCAAGCTCAATGAATTTGAATGTAAAAAAAGAATGTTGATTATATAAACAACCAATACACCTAATTTAATTGATCTCAACGATGATGATGATGATGTGAAACAAAAAATTTTTTTTTTTTTTTGTGTGCTGAAAACATCAATGATCAATTGGTCAATGTACAAACATTAAAAAGCAAAGTAAGAAAAAAAAATTTTTTTTTTTTGGTCATAAATTATTTCCATTTCAGTATTATTATTATACGCGACAATTCCATCGGAATTTTCTTTCTCGCCTCATCATCATCATCATCATTCATTCAGTGAAGCGAAAAAAAAATTCCAATTTATTCCTGAAAAAAAAGTAACACTATAAAAAAAAATTAGTATAAAATTTATCCAGAATTAAATGAATGAATGAATGAATGATGTATGTTTGGCTCAAGGCGAAACTCTTTTCAATTTCTCTCTTTTTTTTATTTTGATGATGATGATGATGTGGATTTTATTTCATTTATTTTTTAAGTTTTCTTTATATGCATACATTTTCTAAGATCTCATAAAAGGTGAGAGATCCGAAAATTGAGATTTTTTTTTTCTTCACTTTTGCAGAAAAAAAATAAATAAATATTCAAATATTCAAAGCTTTTCATTAAGCAAAAACAACAACAACAACAACAACAACAAACATTATTTGCATACAATAACAATTGGGTGCAATGCATAAACAGTGTTTGTGTGTGTGTGTGTGTGTGTGTGTATATTGCATATTCGCCCAATTGCCCTTTTTTTATGAATCCATAATATCAATATATCGATCTCAATATCCTCCTCCCCATTGCCTCCCCTTCTCAAGAAATTGTTAATACAATACAAATGATTCGATTCACTAGAATGGAAAATAAAATAATCATCATCATTGATCGACGCGTGTGTGTGATGTCCGTAAATCAGCTTATTTTTTTTTTTTTTTTTTTTTTTGAATCATCAAGAAATTTATTTCTTTCTTTTTTTTATTTTGATGATGATCATTTTGGATGAAAAAAAAACAATGATATTAATGAAGAATTTCGTTTTTTTTTCGCTTGTCACTTTTGATTATAATGATGATGATAATGAGCACCATCATTATTATTATTGATGATCAAATTCAATTGTTTTTAATGATATTATATTTCATTAGTTTTTTTTGTACATTTTCTTTTGATACAATGTTTTTCTTGTTGTTGTTGTTGTTGTTGCTGGTAGAACAAAAAAATAAAGTTTTATTGCTTGTCACACGCACACACACACACACAAATAACTCATTGACTGGTCAAAATGTGTGATATATTCACAGGACAATGAATTAGCATCATTATCAACAATGTAAGAAATTTCTAGAGATTCTAAAAACGAACCAGATTCTCTATCTAATGGTTATCCACATTAAATATATTTATTTATATATGTGATTCTGATTCAATCAATTTTAAATGGATGAAATATTTGTATGTTTTTGTGACCATTGTTGCCCATTGTGGTTTGTTGTTCAAATCATGTTTTAATCAAATAAATTGAGATGTCTAATTTTGTACATTTATATGTGTGTAAATTTATTGTTGTTGTTGTTTTTTGTCATAGTTATAGTACAACAATATTGTACCAATTGAATGACCAAAGAAGAACAAGAAAAAAAATTGTGAACAGATGTGAAGGTTATAACATTATTATAATATATATAATCGGTCAATTGAAAAGCCAAATGGTTGACAATTTGACAAATTTTTTTTTCTCTTTGGTTCAGTTTTATTTTGTCACACTATCATTTTATTTTATATTTGATATAAACCAGCAAAAAAAAAGATCTACAATATTGTTATTATATTATATTTACGGATAGAAAAATCCCAAATACACGCATTAATCTCTTTTTCTAACTCTCTGTACTTGCGTGTGTGTGTGTGTGTGTGTGTTTGCTTGTGATGTGCATGTCAATTTTTACCCAATTTTTTTTCGTATTTATTAGCTAATCCAAATAACAAATTTTGATTCCAATTTTTTTTTCGTATTTATATACTATATATATTGGATCAATTTTTTTTGCTAATCAATTCATTTAAATTTTTTTTTTTTGGTTATTATTTTGTTGTTGTTAACAGGAAAAACTCGAACTAAAGATAAATATCGTGTTGTTTATACAGAAAATCAACGTATAGAATTGGAAAAAGAGTTCATGTTTTCACGTTATATAACAATTAAACGGAAATCCGAATTGGCTAGCCAACTTTTATTATCTGAACGACAGGTAAGCATTATCATTTTATTTTATTTTATTTTTTGTAAATTGAACATCATAGAAACGAAATTTGAAACAAACAAACAAACAAAAAAATAAAAAAAAATAACTGGGCGATACACACATACACACGTATTATATATATGAAATGAATGAATGAACCTATATATATTATATATTGTTTTGAAACAAAAATTTGAATTATACATACAATATATAAATATGAACCAAGCAACCGAAAAAAAATAAGCCGTATAAAACACCCAAAAAAACAAATGTGCACACACTACACAGAAACATAAAAAAAACCAGTATTTATCGCGTTAATCATATCATCAATCAGTATAGTTTTCAGGTTTTTTTTCTCTCTCTCTCTCTCCACAGTTACAGCCCACAAGGATCAAACAACACAATCGATGATGTTTGATAATGATGATGATGATGTTTGATGATGATGATGTTGGCAAACAACAACAACAACAACAACAAAAAAGAACATTTATTTCATTCCATTTGAAGTGGATCATATATATAGCCAATGTATATTTTTATTTGACATGAAAAGTAGTATTTATCTCATCTCAATATATATGTTTTAAGGAGATCACATTGTTGTTATCGATTATATTTTGCCAATATAGCCAATTGTATGTGTGTGTGTTTGATGTGCTGTCAATGATTTTTTTTTTTTTTTTTACTTTTGGAGGCCGTTCTTTATTCCTTGTAGTGAAAGATGATCGTTTTGATCAAATACCAGCGCGCACACACACACATTTATATATTATTTATGATCTCTGATTGACAATTTATTTATTTATTTCGTTCGTTCGTTCGTTCATTCGTTTATTTCGTTCAGTCTCCAGGTCAACTGGCAAAATTTTCTTCTTTTTTTTTCTTTCTTATTTATCACGTTCATCCATAGATGAACTGAATAAAATGAATGTGAATGAAAAAATGTCATTTCATAAGAACCACCTCTTAATACAAATTTTTTTTTTGTTCGCTCTTTTGACTTGATTTAGTATATAATCATAAATCAATCACACAAAAACAAAAAAAAAACATTGATATATTTACCTGATGATTGGATGATGATGTAATTAATTGTTTTTTTTGTTTTTCAAATCATCAAGGTAAAAATTTGGTTCCAAAATCGTCGTGCAAAAGATAGAAAACAATCAAGAAAAAAAGAAGAAATAGCTAAAAAGAATAAAGAAAAAACAACAGGACGAAAAAATGCAACAACAACAACATCAGTAACAACTACCGGTATTCTGGATGGATCAATTATGATGAATAATAATTTAACAACAACAGCAGCAGCAGCAGCAGCCGCCGCAGCAACAACAAATATTAATGGTGATCGATATGCACCATCATCATCATCTTTGACCGGTATTGCCGGTGCATTAATTTCGGATAATAATTCTATTGTAATTGATTCACCATCACCGACAGCCATTCATGATATTAATGGTAATAATAACCTAGCCAATCATCATCACCATCTTCAACATCATCATCATCTTAGTGGTCATATAAATCCTCATTCTTATCATCATCATTCAAATCTAATGTTGGCTGCACATCATTCAGCATTACAGCAACAACAACAACAACAACAGCAACAATGTAGCCAATTTTCCGATATGAATAATCATAATTCATCAACAACAGCAACAACACCATCATTATTATCTTCATCTGAATCAACAAATTTATCTGCATTATCAACAATTAATAATGGATTGACAAACATTCAATCATTATCGATTTCCACGAAACCATCATCATCACCACCACCACCGCTACCATCATCATCATCTGCTATTCCATTATCCGCATCATCATCATCATCATCATCAATGGAAACGGCATCAATATCGACAGCAACGACAGCTGCTGTATCGACAATAACATCAACGGCAACTTTAAACAATTTGGTTGCTCATCGTCATAATTCAAATGATATTAATAATTATTCTCAACATATGTTGACAATGATGACAGGTATTGGAACACCACATCACCATCATCATCATCATCATTCTAATTCACATGTTTCATTATCATCATCATCATCATCGTCATCATCTACAACAACAACTTCATCATCATCATCATTACCACAATCTGTTCCAAATATTCATGGTCAAACAAATTCTCATCAAATTAATCATCATCATCATCATCATCATCACCATCAACATCATCAGTCATCAATCACTACTAATTAGTATGAATAAATTTCAATTACACACATACACAAATGTTATTATTAATTATTATTATCATCATATATGTAATATGTACAACATAAAAAACAACCGTATTGACTCTCTTTCTATGTAATTTTTTTTCCTTTGTTGTTTTCATTCCATTTCATACATTCGATTTAAATGTGATTCAACCAATGAACCAAATATTTATGCTATCATCTATCATCTCATTTATTCATTCATTTGATGATTCACGATTTTTAATAAACAGAAAAAATAGAAAATAGAAAATTTAACTTCAATCATCATCATCATCAACGAATTCAACAATTCAAAATTAACCCATTCGAATCAATCAATCAAAAGAGAAAAAAAAATTATTTCATTTTAAATTTAAATCATCTTTTGTCTTTGTGTGTGTGTGTGTGTGTGTGTGTGTGTGTGTGTGTGTGTGTGTGTGTGTGTGTGTGTGTGTGTGTGTGTGTGGCTTACAAATAACTAATTTCATAACATTTGTTTAATTTTTTAAATTTTTTTTTCTTCACAGAAATCACTAGTTAAATTATCATTATCATCTGTTTGAATCATATTATATTAATCTATCGATCTAATATAATTTCCATCTATTCTATCTATCTATTTTTCATTTTATTATGCTATAAAATCATTCATAATGATAAATATTGTCAAATTTTTATCAAATTCTTAAACAATTCAACTTATCTATCTATAATAATATTTAAATTATTATATGATTATTAATTTATAAAATAATTGAAATAACATTTCTGTACATCATTTACTTACTATTGTATTGATTTATTATCGATTATTATTCTGTTTTATTCATTTTTTTTGACATTATTGTATTCATTGATTGATTAATTTTTTTTTCTTGATGAAAATTAAAATCTTTTTCTTTGTCTCTTGTTCTCATTATTCAAAAAAAAATTCGAATGTTTGTTTGTTTTGTTTTGATTCCGGCCGCAAGATGGCGCAACAGTATAAGCACAATTCGAATGCTTTCGAAAACGTTCGAATCGAACGTTTAGAATTTTCATTCGACATTTCGTTGGAAACATCAAAATTTTTTTTCTCATTATGGAATCTTCAAATATGAGCTATGATAATTCACAATTGTGTTATTTTCAATCCTCATTCCAATCAAATTTCAAACAAGAATTGGCTCAACATTATCATGGACACTATCAGCAATTCAGTCAAGATTCAGCTTATGATAGCAATCAATTTTCGCAACAACCATTGGATTCAGTTCAATCAATTGTTTCAAATAATTTGATTGATTTCAGTCAAAGAGTGGAAAATTATCAACGAAGATTGGATTACAATCAAATTTATCAACATATTAATTACCAACAATCATGTTTTGTTGAAAAATTTAGTCAGGATTCATCATACGGAAGTCAACAATATAATTCTCAAACAATTGACTCTATTCGTTCGTTCAATCGAGCTGATTCATACGCTCCGAATCAGATGGTCTCAATTAATTTTGAAGAATATAATAATGTCCATTATCTTCAACCGGATCAGCAACTATCCGATAATGTTACTAAACAATATTGCGATTATGTTCCAATCCAACATGAAACGGTTGGATACAACAAAGCGCCAATAAACGAGTTGTATTACATTGATCATCTCATGCAGTGTCAACCCGAATTGATCGCAAATTTTCAAAACTATTTGAAACATTCATTCCCAAAAGAGTCAAAATCAGATATTATTGAAAGATTGAAAGCGCTTAAGTTACAATTCATCCAAGTGAATACGCCTGAAAATGATTTGAACAATGATAACGATAATGATATAGAACAAAGCAGTCAGTTTTTCAACATGAGAGGCAGAATAATTGAAAAATCTGATCAATTCATTCGTAAAAATTCGCCTAAATGTCTTAGAAATGTAAGTATGATTTGTCAAATTAACATTGATTTTAATGAATTTCTAAATTCTTAGATCGTGAGATCAACAATGGATATTAAATATTCGAATGAAACCGGTGTAACATTGAACCAGACAAACAAACGCTACAAATCAATTCGATTGAGCAATCCGATACGTTTGGAACAATATTGTTGGCTGATTGATCGTTTAATTGAAAATTGTCAAAATGATCAATATAATGGCCCAAGAGATCTTTATTATCAAAATATAGGATTATTCCCGAACGTCAATCTAATTACTACATTAGTGAATGACATTTGTTGTACTGTGGGAGTAACACGGATGAATTTAAATGTAATGGTTAGTCAAAAAGGATTTGTTTTTGGTCATCTAACAATATCAAATGAAAAACAAATGATCCTATATGATTCGAATACAAAATCATCAATTCCGATTCCTGATTGCGTTCAAGATTTAAAAATTTGTCATTCTAATGCTCGATTTATACTTGTGGTTGAAAAGTATACTACTTTCACGAATTTAATTTTAAATGGCATTGCCGAACGTTTTCCATTGATCATGATTACTGGATCCGGATATCCAGATTTAAAGACCAGAAGCTTCCTTCAAAAATTATGGTTCGAATTAAAATTACCAGTATTTGCATTGATGGATGGTGATGCTTATGGTATCGATATAATATTATCATACAAATATGGTTCAATTAATTCAGCATACCAGAATCATCATCTTATTGTTCCAAGCATTCAATGGTTGGGAATAACTGCCGATGATATCAATGATTTTCAATTGAAAGGTATCAGATTTAAACGAAATGAATTGAAAAAATTTGATTCATTATTGAAACGTGAAGATGTTCGCAACAACAATATATGGGCACAGGAAATCATAAAAACAAAACAATTGGGCATTAAAGTTGAAATTCAAGATTTGGTAGATTATTCACCACGATTTTTGATTGATTGTTATCTTCCATATAAATTTTCATACGCTAAATGGTTTTGAAATAATCCAAAAACAGTATCAATTTTAAATCAAAAATAATTTAATTTTCTATCGATAAATTGTCTTTTTTTTAAAAACTGATTCAAATTTGTATTTCATTTTTAACATTTCAATTAAATAAAAATTTAATAAATGAAAATAGATTCAATTTTTTGGTAAACCATTGTCAAGAAGAAGACAATTTGAATCAAATTGATTGGTAAGAATTTTTGGTCCACTACCCAAACGAGTAGAAATTATATACTTTAAATCTTCAGCATTTTGTTTACGGCTATCAATGTAATCGTTGATTTTTTGATCAATGACTATTTGATCAGTTTGATATGTGATGCCTTTAATTTCCAATTCAGTTCCATCATTTTTTTGATACATTCGACGAATCGATTTAATTAGTATTGGAGCATGATTGTCAAGACAATAAATGCATGCATTTGGACCAGCATCAAATGTATAACAGGCAACATTATGACCAAAAGAATGGTTAATAAAATGAATCAGATTTACAATGGACCAGGAAGTATCATTCATATAACGAATTGGTGGATAAGTATCCTGACAAATAGCATGAAATTGATTCGAATCTTTCATGGTGATTTCAGCAAATTTATCAAAATTTCTTTCATTAATTGCCTTCTGGATTTGATCACAATGATCAGGCACAACATTTTCGGCACGATATTTTATCAATGAACTTGTTTGACAACTAAGCTGCATACCAGATGTACTTGATGTATCTTTACGGTGATCACTGACCACACAGACAAAAATACGGATTTCTGGCCATTCATTTTCAGTAATCACTTGTCGAGCTATAGAAGTTTGATGATCATAGCCGGCAATCCATCGTACAATACCGCCATAAATTGAACGACAAGCTGAACCAGAACCTAATCGAGCTAATGATGATATAATATAAGGATCGTTGATTTCAAACAATTTACATAATGCATAACAGAGACAAGCATAACCAGCAGCTGATGATGCTAAACCAGCAGCAGTTGGAAAATTATTCCTTGAACATATACGAATATAATGATTCGATGGCCAACCAACCGTTGATTCGGCTAATTTTCGAACTGATGACAACAAAAACAACAAAAAATAGAATTCAATTTCAATATCAAATAATATTCGTGGAAGAGATTACCATTTTCAATACAACGAACTAATCGTTTATTATCATCGATTTTAACTTCTACACCATTTAGCCACATACGATTGGAATCAAATTCATTGCTGAATGCAATGGAAGTTGTTGCACAAAGATGATCCATCGAAAGTGTGCCACTGATTGAATCATTTAATGGAATAATAAGATTTTCATCTTTTTTACCCCCTGAAAAGAAAAAAAATGCATACAATCATCATCATCATCATGTTTATTTTTTGTTCTTTCAAAAATTACTTACAATATTTGATCACGGCAATGTTGACCGGTGCTTGAACAGTGATGATTTTCATTTTGTAATGTTTAGTTTTTGAACGAATGAATGTTAAATGAAAAAGAAAAATAAAAAAAAACTGAATAAGCAAAAATTTAGAAATTGAATAGAAGAAAATAGATTTATGGTTATAATTTTTGAGGTCAATATCGATTTTGATTTGTGAAATTTTTTTTTCCCCCGGTATAAAAATTACACCTACGTGTACGTGTCAATATATTGATTTAAATGTGTACATATACATATTATTGTTGAAGACGGTTAAAATTTGATTTAAAAAACTAGTTTGACCATCATTTTTGATGATGTGACGGCAACTGTTGTTGATTCATCAAAGATGGCCAATAATCGATAATAGTGAATGTATGAAACAAGAAAGATAGTATGCAAACCAAAAAAAAAAAAAAAAACAAGTTATGAAAGATGCGGTTGAAAAGCAAACACCAAAATCATATGATTAAATAAATGGGAAAAAAGTTGATTAGCCGACGATAGATGGCAACGCTGCAGATTCGAGAATTTGATTTTTTTTATTTTAAAAGTTCGATCGATTCTTTTTCTTTTTTTTTGTTCTGGATGGTTCGGCATTTTTTTTTTTTTTTTTGTTTATCGATCCAAAGTTTTCATTCTATTATTTTACACACTAGATCTAAGCAAAAACTGAAACTAAGCCACTAACGGCTTCTGCTAATCTATTTTGAAGTTGTTTGTTTGTTTGTTTGTTCGTTCGTTCGTTCGTTTGTCATTTCTCAATGATTGATGATTGAAAATATTCTTGTCCAAATATGATGATGACAGTGCGAGTGTAGAATGTAAAATAGCAAATAGAATCAGCAAATAAAAGCTAACGTCATTTGAGGACAATAATGAAGCGATAGAAAAAGAAAAACAGAAGCAACATAAATAGAATGTGAATATAAAAAAAAGTGAACGAAATGCAAAAAAAAATCAAACCAAATTTCTAGTGAAATAAACTGCTCACCCGGAATCGGAATCACAAAGGAAAAAAAATCCTGAACATTTCGGCATGGGTGATTGTTGGTATTCGAATGTTTGTTTGTGATGTTATGTTCAATGATTATGATGATGATGATGATGATGATTATATTCCAGTTTTTTACGCCTAATTTCTGCGAAAATTAAATTCTTATTTCGATAATCAGAAAAAGCTTCTTTTTTTATATCCACTTCTTTGCCGTATTCATTCGTTATCATCGAGCTGTTACTGTTTTGTGTGCAAAATATATATAATCAATTCGGTGAACCTGGTACAATCAAAAACCCTCTGTGTATCTTCATCCCCTCATGGCATGAATGAATGAATGAATGAATAAATGAAAAGAATCGAAAATTGAATTGGAGTAGAAATCATTCTACATTCGAATCGACAAACGAACAAGCACATCGTATTTTTTTTTTCTCACTCGCCATGTTCTATCACTAACTCAATCTCGTTTTTTTTTGTTCTATTTGGTCCAAAACAATTTTGCATGGCTACATCAACAACCAGCCAAATAAAACAACTATAGAGAATAAAATCTATAAATATATATCGTATAATTGAATTGCCAAATACAAAACGAATGGGAGCAAGAGAGAGAGAAAAAAAACAAAACAAAAATATACACCAGAAAAATAAAACTCGAAGAGTCATCGATTTTGTTTTGTTTTATATAAATGTACATTGAACATCTATGAATCGAACTAAATATAAATGAATACATGAATGAATGAATGAATGAATGACGATAAAACATGGCCAAGAGATTTAGAAGGATTCATTGATAATATTATTTGGAAAAGATGGAGAAAGAGAGAGAGAGAGAAAAAAAAAATAGAAAGAGTGGGTGAGAGAATTCTATCACAATTCTCAATTCTATTGTTTTTTTCATGTGGATGTATTGGTTTGTTTTTCTCTCTCTCTCTCTCTACTTTACAAGTTTTCTGGAATCATTTTCATGATGATGCATTATCGAAATGGATGTGTATGCATGTTTGTTTGTTTCTTTGGCTCGAGGGATAAAATTGCCATGTTTTCTATCTATTTTCTATTTTCTATTTTTTTTAGCATTGTGTTATTTCATTTTATTTTATTTTTGTTTTTTTTTTGTTTTTTTGGTTTTTGGCTGTTCACTCAAATAATTGAACATTTTATGATGAACATGTGTAAATTAATTTAGCTAATAGCATATTATATTCTGTATAATATACAAAACATAAATATCTTACAGGCTTGAATTAGACATGTAAAATGTTTGTTTTTTCTCTTGTTTGTTTGCATGTGTTTGTACATATAGCCAAATCAAATGTACGATGATTCATTGATCTAAATCATGTGATGATGATGATTATCATATGACTAATATTCTTTCTAGATTATTATGACAGCCGGATAATCATTGAGAATAATGAATAAAAAAATTGTTCATCGTGCTGATCATCATCATTAGATCATCGAAATTCTGGTCCATTCTTTACATTTTTTTTTGTTTATTATTTTTTTCTTGGATTTAGTAATATTAGTGGAATTAACATTTGGCCATCACTTGTCCATCAAATTGTCAACGGTTTTTTTTCATTTTTTTTCTATTCGTTGCCTGTATAGAATATTCTACTATAAATAGCTCATAATAATGCAGAATTATACAGAATTTTTTTTTGTTTTGTTTCTCTGTTTTCAGAAATCATTTTATTTATATTTTCATTTTACAAACCAAATAAAAAAAACAGAAGAAAAAATTATTCCACAGAATATATTAAACGTATTTACAGCCAATATGAAGAAGAAAAGGCTTTGTAAATATTCGAATTTAAATTTAATCCAAAATAGAATTTTGTTGTTGTTGTTGTTGTTGTTGACCAATATCTTGATGTTTTTTTTCAAAGCATTAAAGCCAATATTTCCTAGGGTGTATTTGCTAAAGCCATGGCTACACATATGATTTGACAGTTTTTTTTCTGTAATTTTTTCAGAAAAAAATAGAATCACAAATACACAACAACAACAACAACTACATTGATAAAAAATACGATGACAAACAAAATAACAAACAAAATGAAAATAAAAAAAAAAAGAAAATCTAGAATCCGCAATGACAGCCTTCAGCTAGTTGTCCATTTTCGTTTTTTTAAATTTAAAAAGAGAGTGTCAGAGAGAAAAAGAGAAATATTGAATTTAATCATTTGATATTGAATTTTTATCTATTTTTTAAAAAAAAGTAAATAATCGCAAACGTAATTTTGAAAACAAGATTTCATGATTGAAATTGAAATTTCAAGTAATTTTTTTCACTGAAAATTGATTTATCTTTATTGTCAATGTTCAATAAATCACTGATGATCAGATCTGATTTGATTGGATTTGATTTGATTTGATTTTGAAACGTGTTTGCTTGCAAGCACGTGCTCAATATTATTGAAATGTTTTCTTTTTCCGGTAATGTTGTTGTTTCAATATATTTTTTTTTCTAGAATATATACATATTCAAAGAGAACATTAGCGTCATAAGCACGTAGAATAAAATTTAATCATGAAAAAAATCAAATTCATTTCATTGCTTAATGTTCCAAAATTTTTTTATTTTTCGTAAAGGCTACAATATGTTCCATGTATTTTTATGAAAATAAATTTGCTGTAAAAAAAAAATAAAAATTACACACCAAAATAGATAGACATAACATTACAAGCGGTTGTGTTTTTCCTTTCAATTCCCTTTCAATATCTATTCGGGAAATCTAATGGTTTTTTTTTATTCATCATCATCATAATCCTAAACAGTTCCTTTGAAACTTTCAATAACATGGTCATTTTTTTTTGGTGGTTTGATGATGATGATGGAAAAAATATTTATAAACCAATACACCAAAAAAAAAATTTTAATGTGGTGTTCATGAACCATTTGATAGATCATTATTATTATTATTATTCAGTGTCCGAAATTTATTTTTCTAACAAAAATTCGCTGTTATATTAATGGTTATAAACTAATAATTTACAAAATATGATGATTGTTGTGTGTGGTTAAAATATTTGAAGATAATGGTAATAAAAAAAACCATTTAAAACAAAAAAGACAATTGATAGGTTCTGACACTAGAACCAAAAAAAAATTTCATTTTCATAATCATCATCATGATCATAGAATTACGGATTTATTCCCTTTTTATAGATCATTATCTAATGATATATTTATAAAGAATAAAGAATAAAAGAACAAGAAAATGATGAAAATGAAAAGGAAATTTTTTTTTTCATTTTTTTTTATTTTATAACTTTTACGTGATGGCCATAAATAATATGTATGTTGGCTGGAATTCACTTTGGTACTGTACTGTTTCAAGTTTTTTTTTGTTGAAAATTTTCCATTTGCTACGACATTCATTCATTGTTACAAGCCAGTGTTTGTTGATCATAATGATTTATCATTGATTAATTATACACAATGAAATCACACAGAATCGTTGTCATATTTTTATTCACATTTTGTTTTTATTTTTTTTTTTGAATGAATAATTTTCAATTAAATTAAGATTAAAATGAAATTATTACATTCTTTTTTGTTGTTGTTGTTGTTGTTGTTGTTGCTACAACAGCAAGACGAAAAAAGAACAGAAACAACACACAATATGAAAACTGAATTGTCAGCCATTTTAAAATGGCACAATGAACAACGAGAAAAAAAAATATGAAAATTGTGATTAAATATTTTTTGGCCAATTTCATTTTTTAAACTCGAAAACGTGATAATGTTGTTGTTGTTGTTGTTGTTGATGACAAAATGAATAATTGATTATATGAATTTTTCGGCCATCATTGTGCTAGTTTTATTTTTATTTTATTTTTTTTTTTTGCGAATCGTGAATCATTGTCTCATAATACATGGATTAAGTAGGTGGAAATGGAAAATTTGGATTTACGTTATAATTACTTTATTAAAAAAAACGGATTTTTTCCAGTCTTGTACACACATATATATGCACACAAGAGAGAGAGAGAGAAAAACCATCCGGTTGGTGAGAATTTTTTTTCCGCTCGAATTGAAAGCCATTTATCTCACCACCGCCACCACCATGTACCAGAATAAAAAAAACAAAACAAAACAAACAGAGAATATGTATGTAATAAGAATTTCATTTTTTTTCTGGATATGAATCAAAATGAAATTTTATCGAGCGAAAAAACAAAATGAAAAAAAAGTAATTTGTTTTTTTTGTTTGTCTTCACCATGTTATTATCATCAGAAACAAAACAAAACAAAACGAAAAAAAAATTTCATTGCATTGTCGCATAGCGTTGCTTCATTATCATTTATCTCAAAGTGATGAATTAATTTCTCTCTCTCTCTTTTGATTCCCAATTTCATCATCAATTTCTTAGATATAATAAATAATTATATATTTTCCATTTCAATTTCCAATTTCCATTTTCATTTTCATTTCCATTTCCATTTCCATTTGTTTTTTTTTCCATCATGATGAAGATGTTGTTTTGTTTTGTTTTGTTTTGCAATGTCATTTCCGTATGTTTCGTATGGT